ACCATAGCCTCCTCTATACTCACAAAGCCTGGCATTTCGACGACGGAGCCACGGAGGAGGAGGAGGAAAACTTTATTCAAAAGCTCAGGTCCGAGCCGTCTTAATCGTCCGCACTGGAGGAGGAGTCGTCTTCTACAACTTTGGTTAAGGTTGTTCGTTGCGGAGGGTCTAGGATCTCCCGCACATGAAGAAGGAGGAGAGGCCAGAGCTCGTTTTGTAGGTCAGGAGGAGGAGCGGTCCAATTTACCCAGGAGTAGGGGAGGTGGGCAGGGAAGTTCAGAGGAGTTGGGCGAGTGGGGGAGCTCGTGGCTCTTGGACAGAGCCAGTATGTGTGTTCGTTTGATGGGTATCCCCCGCACACCTGACACGAAGGCTGTCCGGGGCGGCCCTGTATGTAGTGATTGTATTGATCGCAAGGTAGGGAGTTAGTCTGTGCTTGGCGAATGAGGCTGGCGTCTGCTCTGTTGAAGATGGTGGAGGGTGATGAGAGGGTGCACCGCTGGTGCCGAAGCAGCCGGAGATGTTCTCTTCGTTCCTTGTGATTAGAGGCGCGAGCTTCTCGGGGGTTGTATGGTTCCGGCCAAGGCTTCGGAGGGCCCGGAGGATTGCTTGCGCGGGCCAGAGCGTGTGCACGCTCATTCTCCGGAATGCCTTGATGGCCCGGAACCCATTCGAGACGAACGTGGAGTTCAGGGTGAGTGGCCATGTAGTCCTGAAGGGTAGTGCGGGTGTGATCTGGCAGGCCTTGACATTCAAATGCTCGCAGCGCCGCCTGGCTATCGGATCTGATTGTGATAGTCGAGGTCGAGTGGTCATGAAGGGTGATGGCTTCCTCAATCGCTTGGATCTCCGCCGCAGTTGGGGAAGGGACGCCGCAGTGTAGGCGGGTGGATGTGGAGTGGGGGCCGATGACTGCAGTGATGATCCGATCTGGTTGGATATGAGCGTCTGTGTAGTATGTGTCGTGAGATAGCGTCGGGAGGTAGTGAGCATAGTTTTGACGGCGCGTCTTGTTCCTATCTGGATCCATGTTTCGTGGAATGGGGCGTACTTCTATTCGTGGCACGCCGTCCCATGGTGGTGGGGGCGGAGGGATGGAGGGCAGGTGCTCCGTAGGATGGCCAAGGCTTTGAAGGATTGCCCGTCCCTGTCTGGAGGTTGAGAGACGGTGTAACTGGGCCTGGTAATGGGCCGCTGTTTTCTCTTCAAGTGTGTTGAAAAGTGCAGTGTCCGCTATTTTGGTATTGGCGGCATATACGGGAACTCCCAGGGCAGTACGGGTGAACTTGCGGAGGGAAGCCTCGATTTTGTTTGTCTGGGTGGTAGTGAGGGTTTGATATGGATACGCATACATGAGACGAGTGTACACGAGTGCCTCGATCACTTTGCGAAGTTCGTGCTCCCGTAAGCCGTGGCGTTGTCGTGTGATACGCCGGAGCATATGGAGAATTTGCTCTAGTTGTTTTAGAATGGTTTTTACCCATATCGTGCTTCGTCCGTCTTGTTGGAAGATGAATCCAAGAATTTTGATGTGGGTGCGGCGGGGTATAGGGTTATTATCGATACGCAGTTGGATGAGGTTGCGGTATGCATCTCCTTTTTTGGTGTCATCGTTGGAGACCACAACATAAGCGGATTTATCATGGGAGCAGGTGAGGCCTACGCTGCGGGCGTGACTTTGGATGATGTCGAGTCCTGTCTGGATAGTTTCCTCTTGTTCTGCTGGGCTGCCAGTTGAGGACCATATGGTTACATCGTCAGCATAAATGGCATGTTGGAGGCCAGGGACTTTTGAGAGTTTGTGTGGAAGATCCTTCATGACGAGGTTAAACAGTGTAGGTGATAAGACAGAGCCTTGTGGTGTTCCCTTGGTGAGAGGGTGAGGATCAGATGGGTTACCGTCCGGGCCTATGATTCTAATTGTTCGATCCGTAAGGAAGTTCTTAATGTAATTAAAAAGTCTTGCACCGGGGCGAGTGTCTGCGAGGTTGTGTAGAATTGCCGAGTGGTCTACCCCATCAAAGGCCTTTTTAATGTCCACTCCAGCGATTGTACGGAGTTGTGCTGTGCTTTTGTACGCGTATATATCTTCACGGATGCGGCGGGCGACGTCCTGAGTGCAAACATGGGAGCGGAATCCGACCATGGTGGGAGAAAGGTGGTTGTGAGCGTCGAGGTGCCACTCCAGCCGAGTAAGCGCCATCTTCTCCAATAGTTTTCCCAAACAGGAGGTCATGGAGATGGGGCGGAGGTTATTGATGGTGGTTGGGGGTTTACCAGGTTTCGGGATGACTAGGACGTTGGCAGTTTTCCACGACGCAGGGATGTTTCCAGAGCGCCATACCTCATTAAGAATCTCTAGGAGTTCAAGTAGCTTTATGTCAGGAAGATTTCGGAGGATTCCGTACGTGATTTTGTCAGGTCCAGGAGACGTGGTACGCGTAAAAGAGCGAAGGGCTGTAAAGAGCTCCTCGAACGTGAAGTCCGAATTGATACCCTCTGCCTCAGGCTCGGGTGGTGATTGAGGATAGTAAAGGTTCTGAATGCTTTGTAGAGAGTGCGGATAGAAAACATCTCTGATTTGGTTGGTGAGTTCCGATGACGACGCGTCTAATGCCAGTTGCAGTTTCTGTAAAGTGTTACGGGGTCGGTTCTGACCGAGCAGGGTGCGCATGATCTGCCACACTCTAGGAGTGTGGAGGTGATCATTCATATTATCGCATGTCTTGAGCCATGTGTCCGTGGCTAGTTGGTCTGCATACTCCTGAGCTTCGTAGGTAAGGCATGCGATCTTTTCTTGGAGGGTGGTGCTGGATTTGTTCTTCTTCCAAGCCTTAACGACTCTGCGGCATTTGCTCCAAATGTTGAGGAGGTGGGTGTCAATATAAGGGTGCTCTTCAGTGCGCTTAACATGGCGCGTGTATTTCGCCACGGTGTTCATGATGTTGGCGCACCATGCTGTTGGATCAGGGTTAGACGCGGGAAGGTCTTCAATCGCCTTTCTGGCTTTCGGCCAGTCTACAATTTGCGATATGGGGCTTCGTGAGTGCCGTTGCCGGGTGCCGTGTTTGGGAGTTAGGGTGATCTGTATGATATGGTGGTCACTACCTAGGTTCTCGTCAGTGTTATCCCAACTTGCACTCATGTCGCTGCGTATCTATGTAAGGTCTGGGGTTGTATCGTTTTCTCGGGCTGTGCCCTGGCGTGTCGGAGTGGACGTATCATTCAGGAGAGTAAGGTGGTGAAGGCCTGCGAAAGCGTCCAGTTTCCTGCCGAGTGCGGAGGTCCTGTCGTATCCCCAATTGGGGTGCGGACAGTTGAAGTCTCCCAGGAGGAGGAGAGTCGATGGTGCCTTGGCTGCTACAACAGGGGTCTGGAGAGGTGGGAGGGGGGAGTCGTGACCACGTGGGGTCCAGTAGGCATTGATGATGGAGACCTTTTGTCCGTGGTAAGTGGAGTGGGTGATTACGTGCTCCTTGGTGGGGGAGTTGAGGGGCCCGGAATCATCCTGGATGGTTGGAATTTGTTTGCGCACGTATGTGACCGTCATCGCTTGGGGGGGAGGGGGTGTTTGGTGTCCTTTGTGTCTAGGGACGATGCTGGGTTGTATAAAGCTGTCGTAGCCGGGAAGGGGAAAGTTGCCGTAGGTCTCTTGGAGGGCAATGACATCCGGCTGCGTCCCTGCGTGAAGCATATACTGCAGGAGGGTGTTCTTTTTGCGTTTGAGGCTGCGACAGTTCCATTGCCATATGACGAGGGAAGTTTGGGTTGGTGTAGGGTGATGAAGGGCGTCAGGCATTTTGGGCCTCCGGGGTTTCTTCCATGGCGTTTATTTGGTGGTGGGCAGCACGTTTCCGGGGGTGCTCCTCTAGGGTGGTGAGGTGTTGTTCGAGTTTGTCAATGCGGTCGGCTAGTCGTTGGACGGCTTGCATAATGGGGGCGAGGGCTTGTTGGATCATTTCGATGATGTCGCATTGGGAGGGGGGAGACGGAGTTGGTGATAGGAGGGTTTGGGAATAAGTTGGGTGAAATGTGGGGCTACAGGCTTGAGGAGGGAGAGGGGCAGAAGCTGCGTGGTTCCCTTGTGGTGCCAGTGGGGTTGGGGTTGATTTCTTCGAGGGTCGCGACGTTCGGTCGGCCTTGGGAGTGTTGGAGTCCTTCTGCTTGTCCGGCTTTGGTGTTCGGTCCCGGTATCGTGCGGTGTCGTGCGGTGGTTCGGTCTTGGTGTCGTGCGATGGGCGACTCAGGCTGCGACTTTGGCTTCGCGGTGCCTGGAGGATGTCAAAGCGGTTTGTGGTAGGCAGGGCTGGCCAGCTCTGCCAATCCTGTGATGGCGGGGCGACCGCTCGAAGCGGTGTCTTTTGTGAATGCGTTGCCACTTCTGAGCATCCTCGTCCGCCTTCGCCCTAGCCGGGCACGCAGAGGAGGACGGCGGGTGTTCCCCGTTGCAGTTGAAGCAGTGCGGGTCGCAGTCATGTGGTGTGTTCAAGGGGTCGTGGTTATAGGGGAAGACCTTGCTGCAGATGGGACATCTTGTGAAGGAGGTCTTGTTGGGGCACACGTCGGCGCGGTGGCCAATGCCGTGGCACAACGTACATTGTTTACTTCTCGCTCGTTGAGGATAGATCGGGTAGGCTCCACAGCGAATGAATGCGTAACGGGGAAGGCGCGGCCCTTCAACGGTGAGGAGAATGGTGTTCGTGCGGCCGAGGCGGCGGATTCCGAGCAGTTTGGCGTTCTCAACACGAACGTGCTGCGAGAGGTATTCGTCAGTGATTTCGGCGGTGATACCATGTATTACCCCACGGGCATTCAGAGGATCGTTTGCTACGTAGGAGTTGGTTTCGTGTGACTCACCGTCGATGGTGACGTTCGTGAGTTGCACAAGCTTCTGGTGGGCCGTCGGGCGAAACGTATCAATAGCCAAGAGATTTTGCGGTGCGCGGAGCCTAATGTAGGTGTCTTCTTGTTCGAGTTTAGTCAGTCTCGCTCCGTCCAGAATGGCGGCGCAGAGGGACGTGAAGCGAAGGGTGGTGATGTTTACGTGGTTTGCGAGTTTCATTATAATTGTTGTGCTTCTGGGTTGCTTGGGCGCGGGTGAGGTAAATTGGCATGAGAGAGGTGCCGCCCCAGCGGGCTGGACGGGCGAGCTTTCCGACAATGTGTCGACAAGCATGGCGGTGAGGCGGTAGGAGGCCGGAACCGCGGCGCCGGTGTTAGGCTTAGTGAGGCCCGCCCCACAGGGGCGGCCTGTTTTTGCTCACTCGGTGATGGAGACGAGCCGTGGGTCTAGGATTAGGTTGACCAGGGTATGGAAGATGTTTGCGTACCTGTGTGGCGAGCTTCGTGGCCCTCGGAGTCGAGGAGCAGAAGAATAAAATGTTTAAAGCTGGAGCTCGGAAAGAACACGCCTCTGTCCTTCGAGCTTCTTCGTCTTTTTCGAGCCACGGAGTGCCCGGTCGCAGATTTGGAGCGCGAGGATTTGAGCACAGAGCATCGAAGAGCCATTTCTCTGGAATTTGGACGTCAGCGCACAGGTTTTGCAGTGGCGAGGACCCAAAACACACTTGTTCGCTCGGGGGAAGTGTGTTTCGGCATCTCGCCGCAGCGGGGCGCCAGTCACGTGGCTCTCCTCTGATCCGTTGCGTGCCGCTTCACCTTTTCCATCTCGGCGGCCGCTTCTCGTGGAGATCTGCCAGGCTTTGTCAGTATATGAAAGGCTATGGCGCCACCAATAGTCACTGCAGAATGAGAACGGCTGAGCGTCTTCTTCGGAGGTTTCGGCCTCCCGCACGCGCTCGCTGCCTTCGCTGTGCTTCGACTGCACGGTCGAAGCTCAGAAGACGCCGAAGCGCTATCGAAGGCAAAAAGCTCGCCCTGGAGGCGGGACAACTGGAGGACCTTGCTGCCGTTCGAATCCCGTCAGTAACTATTGTATACACGAACACGCGGCCCTGACGTCACGTGGTGACGCTGCTGTGAGAACAGCGCATGCGCTTCACTTCAATCAAATCTGGTTTCTGCGCACGCGCAGTGCCCATACCTGGTGTGGACAAACAATGATTTGTTTGCAAACAGCATGTCGGTCTATAAACAAAGCCTGTGTGAACAGCCTCCATGGAACATCATTGGATGGCGTCCACTACGTTACTGGGCACACTATATATAGACCGATGACGAGCTTCTTTCGACGGATTGAGTGGGCATGAGACCCAGTGGAACGCTTACACTGCAATCATATCTGATCTCGGTGTGCTTAGGCTGCCTTCATGTGCGCTTTGCTTAGGGTGGTGGCATCTCGCCATTTTGTCTCACACTTTTATTTTTCTTTGTTGTTCAGAAGCGCGTGAAAGAGCGTGTCCCTGCGCGCGCTTGTGGCGCTGACTGTGCTATGGCGACATTTTGTTTTCGTCGATTTCTTTGTATTTTTCTCGTGAGCGCGTGCTGTCGGCATCTGCTACTACAAAGGGTGGCATCACCCTAAACAGAAGGACATTGAGGCACCCTAGGTGTGCTCTCGGTCACCTCGTGTGGTTATAATGTTAAAATTATGCTTTGATTATTCTTTGTGGTGTTTGATGGAACTCTTTCTCGGGGCTTATGGTTTCTCATATGTGCCATTATATACACTGTCAAAAGTCTTGATTGCATCATAATGTAGAAACATGGCAAAAAACTTGCACGGTCGTCCAGTTTGTGTATCTTCTTTTCCGTCCAGTCTTCGTACTGTTTGCGTGTTTCATCTCTGCTGTCCGTTTTTTTTTTTGTTTTGCGCTGTTTCCACATTATGATCAACGAATTAACTAGCGCGATGTTACTTTTGATTGTACACTATACCTCATACCAACTATGCATTCGAAGCACCGATCAATGGCCTTCCTCTAATCAGTTCAGCCAATGCGAAACGAGATTAATATCGCACTGAGTGGTCATGCAATCTCCGTGGCAAAATGGTCGCTTCCCCTTTTCTCGCTGAGGTATGCTGGGCTGGAAGGGGAGGCACTGGTAGGCTTGAATGTGGTAAGCGTCGCCACCTTTGCACGATCCCGGGCACTAAAAGAAGATGACGCTAAAAAAGATTTACATTATTGAGCGTTTCATAACAACCCGTAGAAGTATTGTAATGGGAGCACGACCCCACATAAAGGTTTTTATATTATTTTTTTTTGTCTGCTCCTATTTTTTTAGAACCATTATTTCATAGAATTAGCTGGCCTGGGCCATTATGACGCTGCTGCTGAAGCATATATAGAAGGCACCATGGTAATATACTGACGCCGAGGCATAAATCACGTGACCTCTCTCAGCCGTTGGGAGAAGCGAGTGATTGCGACAGTTCCTCCTCTATCCCACCATAACCAATACCGCAAGACGAGGCCTGTGGCATGACGCCATCGGTAGTGGACAGCCCGACCCGCCCCAAGCTTCAAACAGGCTTGAGCTCGACAATAATCGCCGCAAAGCGGCAGACGCGTCCGTCTTGGCGTGCGTCTTGGCGTCCGTCTTGGCTTCCGTCTTGGCTTCCGTCTTGGCGTCGGGATGTGGGTGGTACTGCCATAACAGAACCTGCATAGCCATTGGAGCATGAACCCGATCCCTATTGTTCCCATTGGCTGAACTGATTAAAGGAAGACAAACGATTGGTGCACAATGTTCTTCTAAGATTGGAGACCGATTGTACAGGTCTGCGAGCTTCGGTGGGGCCTGGGCCGGGTCATCTTCAGCCTGGACTTCGAAGCTTCCAGGAAGCGCTACATAGAGATGCTGCCGAAGACGCTGGAGACCTACTCCATCTACTTCCGCGTCAAGCGCTGGGTCCTGGGCGATGACATCTCGTACGTGGACTTCATGATGTACGAGACGCTGGACTGGATACGCGTCTTCCACGCTGAAGCCCTGGCGCACTTCGAGGCGCTGACAGACTACTGCGCCCGCTTCGAGGCTCTGCCGGGAGTCGGCGAGTACCGGACATCGGCTCAGTTCGTCAGCTGGCCTATATTCGGTCCACTCGCCAAATGGGGATTTCGGGAGAGACCTTAGATATAATACATTACGCTAAATTTGCCTATAATTCATTAATTACAATAACCTAACGGTCTTTTATTCGTTTATTTCGCGTGTCTACATACCGTCGATTTCGACATGTTTTCAGTTGTACACTCGTTCGTTCGTCCATCCCTTCTTGTGGTTCACTGTTAATCTCGCCTCACTTTTAAGCGGAACTTTTGAAAAAAATTCCGCTTAACCGGGACGCACTCTGTTACACAGACTTCGTAGCTTGCACAAGCAGCGTTTCAGATAATCGTAAAAGCTAGGTATAGTTGCAGTGTTTCAGATAGTTGATACTTGTAAACTATAAATGTTAGACAATCTAATCACTTTCCAGAGAAGCATTAACTGGAACAGATTGACGCGAAAATGGATCAGGGTAAGTGGAACCACAAGTAACTGGAACGACAACCGGCGTAGCACGTATACGTGTTCCACCTAAAAAAAAGGAAAATCAAAGAGAACCAGTGTTCCACATATAATCCTCGACTCGCAGAAACATTATATTTTTTTTTCAAGAAAGAATATCTGGAACATTAATTTATTCGTAACCTATGTGGAACCATATTAAAGGGGCGGTGCAACGATTTTCGGACTTCGGTCAAAGATTTCTGGAAGTTGCCCCCTGACACTTCTGAAGTAAAGAACAGAAAACCGATTTTGCCTGCGTGTCCTAGTTTTTGCGTAAAAAAAAGATAAAGATTGGTATTTCGGGCACCCCTCAACTCACTCCCAGTCTTCAGGGTCACACCTGGTCGCACTCCCAGTGACGTCATTCGGAGTGCCGTGTAGCTTCCCGTGTGCTATCTCGGAGGACGCTTCCCCTCCCTCTCTCTGCGTACATTAGCGGGCGCTATGCTGCGGCTTAGAGCCGAGCGAGGTCACGTAATCTTTCCGTCGTAGTTCCTTCGGCTGCCACTTGGGGCTGCAGGTGGGGGAAAAAGCTCGACTTTTGCTTTGCGATTATGCAGCGGAATCGGGACATTTTTAATGAAGGAAATGTTTTCTCTATCCTCTGGGACACGATAAACAACGTAAAAGTGACGAGATGCAAATTCTTTTAATCATAAAATCGTTGCACCGCCCCTTTAAGAGTGTAAAGGCTAGAGTCACTAAATAAGTTACTCTTACGGTACTCGCATTCCATTCCCCGATTATCTAGTGAGCGCAGAGTGGGCACAATTGACGATCACTTCCATTTAAAAAAGTTGCGACGTCCTGAGCTTGAATACGGTTTCAGGAATCTATAGCGATATTGCTTCTCTTTGTCTCGGACTTTTCGACGTTTCTGGAAAACAAAAAAAAAAAAGCTTTTTTTTTTGCTATTTCAGTTTTTAAGATAACTCTCCACAGTGATTTCAGGGGCAAAGATGGCTGTATCGTGGTTACTCCGGAGCCTAGCTTATGTACTGGCTCTATTAGAGACCATGCACACTATAAGGGGTCCCTCACCGCACATGTGGTGGCTACAGAGACACGGCTAATCAGTCATTGGTCTTTCTCTTATTATTTCGAGCTATCAGAAAAGCGATTGACAGTCCTTCATTCTGATTGAAGTATTAAACGACCATTAATTGGGTGTATCGCAGGGCAGTATACATGTGAGAACTTGTCGGAGTCTCAATGGCTGCTGGCGCAGGCAGTGCACGGGCCTCATGCGTGATTTCCTGTGTGCGCTTTTTGCGCAGCACGACTGCGTAAAGATTCAATAAGTGCTGCATTATCCTAAGTCTTTCATGGGCTCTATCTGCAAGGAAGTTTCCTTCGTTCTCAATACGTGGCGCTGTATTCTTTTGATGGCGCTGCGTCCTGATCTAATTATACAGCAGGGGTGAAATGACACAATGTAACTCACGCATTCAGAAAAAAAAAAAAAAGAACAATCAAGGCTACACAGTCTAGACAGACCATGGGCTGTTCAAAATAATGTTGTATTAAGGTCCACTTCCCACGCAGTCCTTAAAGGGGCACTAACACCCCAAAGGTCGCTTTTCTTTTTTTTTTTGTCTAAAACGATGCAAGTTGTAGTTATAGACACGCAAAAAAAAAAAAGATAAAAAAACAACAACAACAACGCGAACAATATTTTTTTATGAGCACACGCATGGGCGCCTTTTTATCTTTGGCGCCCTTCTCTCCCCCTTCTCACCTGCGTGTTCGGAGGTATCAATCTATAAGGAGTTTTCACTGGGCGCCATATTTGTGGGTGATGTCTAGAGCGCATGCTCAGAACGAGCCCACAATAATAGCCTGCTAAGACCGGCAATCTGGAGGTTGCGGAATGCTCGTTACGAAAGAACTGTGGAAGCTCGCCATCAGCACGCGCTCAGCAGTCGCGCACACAGCTATGGCCGCCAATGAATACTCCCCATTCTCTCGGACAATGCATTTGGCAGACACGTTCGTCGCCGTTGAGGCTTCGTTGTTCAGCCATCTACGAGATCCCCCAGTTGGAATTTTTTTTATTTTCCGAGAGAAATCAGGCAGAGAAAACGAAGTTGATGAACCGATCGCAGCTAACACAAATCTGAATGGTTTTAGTGGATATGGAGACAGCGCGATGCTTGTCAGCCATTCAAGAGACGACATATCTCCTTTGTTTGCTTTTTTGTATTTCTGATGTAATCGATTATGTTTTCTAACCGACATTTCTACAATGTTTAATAACGGCATTTGCAAAACATGCTTTTAATGCAATTGCGAACGCACTACGGCCCTTCATTTTGAAATACCGAAAATCGGAGTCCGGAGTGATGTCGCCTCCTGGCTTTTTATCCTCCCTCGGAAAACATGGCGGCGCGGCGGCGCTGGGCACGCTGAGAATTATCCAATGAGGTTGCAACATCAGCAGACAATAACGCCCCAAGAACGAATGACAACGCAAAGAGCGTAATAGGCCCCGCCCGTGACTGGCCAACACGCCGTTTACAAACGAGCCCGCGTTTGCCGCCACCAGGGGGGGGCACTGCGCGTGCGCAGAAACCAGATTCGCGTGAGGTGAAGCGTCTGCGCATGCGCAGTACTGACAGCAGCGCCACCACAGGGGCGTGACGTCAGAGAGTTAGTTCCACTCTGTTACGTCATGGCGCGGTGGTGGCGCGTCGAGCGCACTTCCGGTCTGAGGCTGTGGGCGGAAGTCACCATGCGAGACGTGCATTTGCTCTCGTCAAAAGGCTGCGAGTCGGGTTGTACCAAAAGAGTCGAGAAAGGTTTGAAGGTAAGTTTTCATGTGCTCGGTTCGTCCGAGAACGTGGATATGTGCCGTGAAAAAGTAAAACCAGACACCGTCGGACCACGATTGCTTGGGCGGGAAGTACTTTGGGTTGAATTCACGGATACTTGTAATCATCAGATTTCTTTGTTTTGTTCCAACATGAACACGGGAAAACCGTCTAGTTGTACGGACCACCTGTGAACTACGTCCAGTGCGTCTTCCAAGTTCAAACGGCCAGCTGATCGCTCGAACTGTCCTTTGCTTTTTCAAACGTTTCTGCTTGTCGTCTGCTCTTTCAGACGTCACCGGCCCGCAGACCAAATGTTGGCCCGGTAATTGCGATAAGAAGTAAGTGCACGCCTCAAAAGACTCCTAAGCTTGAAGGTTGGTTGGAAGTAGGGAGCCTTCATGTGCGCTTTGCTAGGGTGGTGCCACCCTTTGTCAAACTAGCAGCCATTTTGGTCTCGGCGATAATCCGTGGGGCTTATAACGCTCCCGGAAACAAGCACCTTATTTCACAAGTTCGGAGCAACGTTGTGGAACCCACGGAGGGAGGATTAGCATTTCCCTCCTCGGATGTGGGAACCGATGGACACAAAGGCCACTGTCCGGCGCACGGGAGACGCACGGGGAAACAATGAGGAACAAAATGGCGGTGGGGGAAAGGGAAACAGGCAGTTGGCATCACTCTATGCGAAGCGTATATGAAGGCACCCTAGGTTGGAGTAAGCAGGTTCGGTGTAAACAGTACATACAAGGAGATGTTGATCATTGTTACCAGTGACCATCATTGACTTGTTATGTTTGATTCACTTGATCCGATTCTGCTTGCGATTTTCAGTATCGACGTCGACCATCTCAGCTACACGGTTCACGCTTTTGCAGCCCGAGCGACGTCGCGACTGAAAATTGCGAGTGGAATCTCATCGTGCGAACCAGGCTTTAGCGTCCATTCTGTGGCGTCCACGAGGAATGGATCCCCGCATGTCACATTATTCACGGGAAGTTTTGCGGTGTGACGAGCCTCGGTAATTTCGCTGACGCCCGCTCCAGTACTCAGACATAGCCAGGAAGACGTAGAATCGACAATTTCGATTGCTAGGAAGACGTAGAATCAACTCACACCGACGACGACAACATCGCATTTCAATGGTTTGTTTATGGTCGACGGCGAGCTTCTTGCCAACACACCATCGCGCATGCGCGGCGCCGGTGTAGTCCGCTAGGGACGCTCCGGTTTGTTTTTAAACATGAGTTTGTCTATAGCCTATATGCTTTCCACTAGCAACGCAAAGTTGTTGCGTATACGTTGTACGAAAAGTCCCTATTGGCCCCACGAAATCTCTGCGGGGAAACCAGACACCCAGGCATATTCCTAAAGTGCGGTTCCGAGTCCGTAATGAGGTCAGCTCAGGTCAAGTCACCACGGTAGCACGGCCGAATGGGCGCGCGGTTCAGCGACCGCGTTGTCCAGAGAGCTCGAAATTTGGAGGGGTGATGGAGGATAGGGACGCTCGGTTTCGGAGTTAATTATGACTTAAACCGCGCGCGTGTGCGCGCGTGTGTAATTGGTCGCTGCGGGGGAGAGCCAGTCAAGCATCAGGAGTCGATAACGCCAGCGCGGGTCGTGCCGGTCATTATTCAGCGATAATGGGATAGACCTATACTCAGTGCGGCGCTCGATGAAATCAGCTCTCGTTGAGCGACGCGGACGTGTGCACCCCCTCCGGTCCCCGGCAGCGCGATATATTCAATTTGGAGCGCTTCGAACCGCGTC